AGAGATAATATCTCAAATGTGTTTTTAAAAGATGGGAAAAACCTGAAGAATGACGTCCACAGTTGTCATCTGTCTCCCCTGAACATGCATGTACCTCCCACACCAACATGCTTATACTCAGGCATACGCACATGTGTACACACAGACACAGACACACACACACACACACACACACACAGAATAAAGGACAGCTTCAACTTTATTAACAAGATGTAGACAAGACAAAAAAGTACAGTATTTCACTTGAAAAAATTGTTCTACATAGCGAGTCCTCATATGAGCCAGATATCTACTGACACTGTCATAAGGAAGGTAGAAGAAAGTCACCATGTGTGTCTTCAACAATGCGTACTCTATGTTGAACATGCACATAACAGCTGGGTGAAGACATGAGAAGTCTTTACAGGGCACTATGAGATCATAGAGGAAGAATCTGATCCAGGAAGTGTTACCCAGCGGCAAGGAGGAAAGGTATCTCAGAGCCTAATAGTTGACAAGAATCAGCTACAAGCCAGGTGTGTGTACCCAGAGACGCTCTAAAATGGGCGGCAGAAATCACTTTTCGTGTTTTTAAATGTAAGATCTCTTGGGATATCTAGATCAAGGTATCCTGTAGACAAGTGGATAAAAAAATCTGAAATTCAGGGGGAAAGCTTGGGCTGGATAAGCAGATTTGGAAGTATTTTGCTAACAGCTAATGAGCAATCCCTTGGGCAGGGTACAGAACAAGAGGCTTAAAGGGACGGGGGGGGTGGAGGATGGTAGGGACATTGCAGCTTGGAAGGGAGCAAGTGGAAAGGATATAAATAAATCCTGGAAGGCCACAGGGGAAGGGTGCTGTGTGAGCCCAAGGCAATGGAAATGTGCTGTTCTGGGGTCAAGACTGTTGCTATTTCAAGGCCCTCATGATCAGGAGATTCAAATATGCCCACAAAATCCAGTGAAATGAGGGCAAAACGCCACTTTAGCTTGACAATAAGTAGTCAGTGATAACCAAACAGTTTCAACCACCTGGTGGGGGAGTTGGCTGTGAATGGAGGGCGAACCAAAAGAGAGCCGTGAAGACACCCGGTGAATAGAAATGGCCCTTTTAAAGCTTCACATGGCAGTGCCTGTGATGGCCCAATGGTTAAGGCCACATATGTGAAAATGTCACCTGAGAAATGAGGTTTCAGGCTCATTATTCCGCATACAAACTCAGTCATGACACTGTGACCAGCTCCAGTGTGATGGTGAGTCCTGAGGCCAAGCCACCTTGTCCTAGACTCATGACAGACCTTGATCAAAAGACCCTTTAAAGCAGCAATCCCGAGGGCTTATGAGGAGCAAAGAAAACAGCAGATGTGGATTAAATGTCAGCATCCAAATGTTAGTTATTGAGTCCCATTATTATCATGATTTGGCCTTGTTAGATTTCAATCTGTGTATCAGCCCAGTTCACATCAGAGCTGAGAAACAGATCGAAAAGTCCGCCCTGTGGAGTTTGGGGAGAGGAAAAAGCTGAAGTTAAAGTGGTGCTTTGTGTACGTAATTTGGACTTCGGAGATCCAAAGAGAGACTGTAGCGAGCCACAATGGGCTTCTACAGACAGCACAATGTGAGCTTTCTGGCGGAGAGGCCCCTGTCAACGGAAGGGATAATGACAGGATGACTGGATGCTCTGCTTCTCCTTTCAGTCAGATAATTTGAGTACATTCTTTATACAAATTATAACTGCTGTCATTTTGATAATACTCCAACTTGAAAATTTGGATTGTTGGGTACAGGCCCTTGCCAGCTCTAAACAAATGATGGTTGGCTAATGAAAGATTTGAAGGGCTCTTTGGCACTATTAGTCGACAGAATCTTTCCTTGCTGTGAAGTCTCCAGTGTAGACCAGGCTTCCCAATTGTTATTCTATTCAAAATGAAAAAGGAATTTGTAAAACTCTACAACTGCTGTAGACATATGAATTGATAAACTGACTGGAATCTTCCTCCCTTTTCTCTTCTTACTTTGTTTTTTAAAAAGATATTTTATTATTTTTCTTTTATGTATATGAGTGTATTGCCTCCATGTATGTAAGTGCACTGCATTGTGCAATGCCCATGGAAGTCAAAAGAGGGTGTCAGATCCCCTGGAATTGGAGTTAGGGACACTTGTTAGCTGTCATGTGGATGCTGGGAATCGAACCCGGGTCCTCTACAAGAGCAGTCAGTGCTCTTAACTGCTAAGCCACCTCTCCAGTTCCTTCAGCTCCTTTAAAAAATGGAGTTAGTCATTTTCCTGGCCCCTGCTGTGTGACTCGACATCTGCACATTTCTCTTTGGTTTCAGTGTGAAGGTGCTACCTATCAAGATTAGTTTTTAGCTGCTTTGTTGTTGCTGCTGTTACACTCAGCCCGAAGCCACAGCTCAAAGAAGGTTACATCATTTTTAATTGCACACCACACAGGTTGGCCCATTACTTGTGGTTCCTCCTAGCGGCACACAAGTGGTCCGCAGTGTGGGAAGTTACTCTTTGTGATGTCCTCACGTGATCTTCAAGTCTCCTAATGCAAAAGCTAAGGATGTATGAACCGAATGGCTCACCAGGCCACTTTTCACCTTGAGCACCTGGTAACCATGTCTGCTTCTTATTTCCTAGCCTTTAAAAGGCAAAGAGGTTGCTAGGACAGTACCCCAGCTCCTTCAGGCTCTGACCTTCTATGACAGTGAAGGATTTTCTTGTGGGGGTTAAAGGACTTCTAAGCAAAGTAAATCTGTAAGTCTAAAAGTAATATAACCATATGCACCCGCAGAATGTCAGTTTATAATACTTGCCTTCCAACCACTTACAGGGCTTCATATTTGGTATCCATGTTAAAATTCTGATGTGGCTTTTAAGCGTCATCAATGATTGAGGAGTGGGTATGTGACAGCACGATTCTGTGTGTGTGTATGTGTGTGTGTGTGTGTATGTGTATGTACGTGTACATGTACGTTCACTGTGGTACAGGTAATATAGGATAAATCCAGGATTCTCTGAGGGTATAGGACTATACTTGGGAGTCCTATGTAATAGATTTAAAGGATTAGCAATAAATGAAGTAAGACAGGAAAAATCAGGCAAAGGAAACCTTGACAACACGAACCTTGAGGCTGAAGAGTGAGGCTGCTCCTCCCTTAAGAGCAGCTCAAGGAACAGAGAAGGGAATTAAGTGGTGAAGTGATCTGATCGTATCAGATTTACCTGCTTTGTTTAAATGACAGTTTTGCTTTCTCTTTGGAGAATAGGTTGAAGGCAGGAAGATTTACCTGTTCATGGGCAATGGTCTCAGATTATAAGGTGATTATTGATCATAATTCAGGTATTAGCACCTGCTTATGTTCTTGGGGAGTCATTATTTTGAAACCACTTGGAAAACTTCCTGCTGCCACGGCCATGCCAATAACTCATTAAGAAAAGCTCATTCCTGTCACTTTCCTTTCCCTTTTTAGGGAGCCTTTTAAGCAGTTTGCTGGGTCACGTGGTCAGTGTATACTATATTTTGTAGTTATTGTCAGATACACTCCAATATTTTCCATTTCTGCAAGCAGTACAGGACAGCTCCTGTCTCTTCACAGATGTAGCAATGTGTGTCCTGTTCCTTTGATTTCTCAGCTTGTACTAATCCTATGGGTAGTGTCTGCATTTCTCTCATTAGAAGCGCATCATCACTGTGTTTAAGGGACACTTTCATTGCCTTGTAAAAGGTTTCAACGTTTTTACTAGTATGTAACAATTATACATGATACTGGGTTCATTATGATTTTTTCATATATGCACATAATGTATTTAATCATGTTCAGACCCTCCATTACTCTCTCTGGTCCCTCCCACTCTCCCCTTAGCTCCCTCCCTCTCTTGGGGACGTGTGACCCAGTGAGCTTCCTCAGGGCTGTTTAAAGGGGTCTGTGTACCTCAGCAGTAGCCACACCCCCAAAGAAAATGGCCTTGCCATTTCTAGAAATTGTATCTGTATATCTCTTGCCTTTTTCTTTCTGGTGTTTAGAACTGAAAGGCCCTACGCATGCTAACCACGCACTCTACCGACTGAGCTATACCCCACCCCTCACTGTGTTATCATATGAGTCCAAGTACATTCTTTCTTTACTTTTAAAAAACTTACATGTTGACATATTAGCCTTTTGTAGTATAAAGAGCTAATAATTTCCCAGTTTGTCATTTATCTTTGTATTTATGAAGTTGTTTTGCAAAGTGTGTGTGTATGCAATATAACTTAATTTTACTTCAACTTAAATATAATTATAGAAGTTGTTTTGTAGTCCAGACATAAAATTTCATCAATATATACTTTTTTCCTAAGATTTGAATTATTAATGATGATTGAATTCATTCATTCTGAATGAATTAATGATTATTTTAAGCATTTAAATCTGACTCATTTGAAACGTTCTGACACACAACCTCAAGAAATTCCTAAAGATGTACCAAGCCGGAACAAGTGAGAGTTGGCTCTAGGGCCTAGCTCTCTACTGACAGAGCAGCATCACTGTTGTTGACAAGCTGTTGGCTGGGGTCACATGGCTTGCTTCCATCTGTTGCTGAATTTTGTATGTTCTTAGTCAACATCTTGTATGTTCTGCAAAGTTCCTGTTACTTCATTTCAAATTCTTCAAATAAAAAACCTCCATGAGCATTAAGAAAGAATTTTAGTGTTCTTGACAACTGTACTCTATAGACAGAGTCAGAATATATCACTATTTGGAAAAAGTTTGCTACATCTCTACGTGAAATATTCTTTTCTAGCATTAAACAGTAATAATAATTCAATTACACAATATCACTGCTACTCTCAGAAACAGTGACACAAAGGGAAATACCTGCCAGGGCAACAAACGCTGGCCTTTCAAATAGCTGGCTTTTATCCCACCCGCATTGACTAGTGATTATGCAATCTATCCATTTGCTTCTTTCACTGTAGAAACTTTATCAGCTCCAAACGGATGCATGGAAAGAAATCTACTGTAGAGACTCACCACTACTAGAAGAATCATTCAGGTTTAGCAGGCTGCCTCCTAGCCCTCGGTAACTATGGTAACTGTAGGTCCCATTGCCGTTGATGTACAATACCTCCTGGGAGCCTGAAACATTGGATGAGTAGGTGGCCGTGGCTGCGTCTGGCTTACACGGTTTGTCCGCTGGAGCAGATTCTCCCTGCAATGACACGCATGACATCCATTAGTCAAATTTCTGCTACTTCCTACACAGATCTTCTCAGTGTCGTCTACACTGAGTAAGAAATCACCAGAGCAAACGTAATTGAGATGATGTAAACATCTTCTCCAAATTCTCTAAACACTAAAAAACGAGAGCCAAGCAACAATGTGGGCAGGATAGAACAGTTGACGATTTCCAACTGAGTTTAAAATGATACAAAGAGAGTGATTGGCAATAGTCAAGAGATAGAAGCAGCCTAAATGACCATTGGCAGGTGAATGATTGGGTAAGACCGGGACCAAATACAGAGAGGAATATTGCTCAGTCTTGAAAAAGAAGGAAGCCCTCACATACACCACCACGTGGGTGATTGATTCCCAAGGGCACTGTGGTAAGTGAAGTAAATCTGTCATAATAAAGCGAATTCCACTGTAGGAGGCGCCTTAAGAAGTCAAAGGTGCAGAGCCACAGAGCACAATGGTTCCTCAGGCTGAGGAATCAGGTGGGGGAGCAGGGTTCCACTTTAGAGGAGAGTGAGGGCGGGCCTATGATCTGTGATTGACAGTTCTGTCCTGTACACTGAGAGATGGCAGGGAGGGTGGCTTTTATGATGAAAAGAAAAAAATTTAAGATCTATCAAGGTCCAAGAACGCAAGAGAACGGAGCACAGGAAGACAAACCCGGCAAATTTCAGCCTCCCGTTTCTCCGGCTCTCTCCTTTCCTCCCTCCTTTCTTTTCTCTTCCTTTTTAACTGTATTTTTTAAAATTTTATTTTATTTATTTATTTTTTTAAATCAATGCCATGAAAGTGAGTCTTATTTTTGTGTTGGGTAAGACAAAACCCATTTCCACATTTTCTCAATACTTTACTATTTCAAATATATTCTTCAGCTTGGACATT